CAAAGGGAGACCGGAATGGCCATTTCTGGCTTGTTAGCCGTCATCAACCAATCATACCCAATCTCAAGGATTGGAAGCCTCGAGATTTGAACCTGGGACCTTTGGTCATTGAGTTCAATCCTCTACCACGGCACCACGGGCCCCAAACCATTGTCACCACTCAGACAGTGAGTTGCACACTTACTGACAAGGGCACTGCCAGTCCGCCCCATTGCCGGGCTTCTCCCCGAGGCGAGGAAATTTAGTAGCGCTGGACACTAGCCAGCGGTAACTGCCACCCGAGGCAGCAACTCCTCCATGTGGCTTTCAGTTGTACGCCGTTCTTATTGTTGTTTTTACTTTGGGATTCCAAGGGGCCTAATTTGACACTGACACCACAAGGGGCCACCTTTACAACAAAGACCACGCTTCCTTGTCCACAGAAAACAGAACAGGACTTCGCGTCCCAAATTTGCTTACCTCCTGCTTTAGAGACGCCTGAAGCCCGGTACTATGTGTCGTAACAGTGGCATCTGACTTGTGTCACCGTCGAATTACGCCCTTTGGAATCCCCAAGTAAGAACACAAAATGAAGGGCATAATTCTGGAATAAACCCGGAGGAGGGTTTGTTTTGTGTGCAAAACCCGGAGTTGCTGTCTCGGGTGACTGTTGTCGCTGGTTGATCTCCAGCGTTCTGATGTCCCCGCCTCGAGGCAAGCCCGGACATTGGAGGCGAAATGCGGTGTCCTCGTAGTCCAGTGTGTGATGCAACTCTCCCTGTCTGCTAGGGACAGTGGCTTATAAGAGAATGTCTGTGCGTTCTCTTGTGGCCTGATTGGCCGCATTTGGATAACGTCACGCGACCAGTTGATCCTCGGGGAACAGCGACCAGTTGTGCTTGACTTAGGCTCGCGTGCGTGCGTGTCCGGTCTAAGGTCATTGCTCGGGCCCAGCCCAGCGAATGTATATGACCTTGGAGGCAGTCGGCTATGCAACAAAGGAATCATTGTGGCGGTCGGTGGCAGGCAGGACGCCTTAGGAAAGCCGACAAGGTTGCTAGCCTTTGTTAGGGCTACCGTCCTAACAATTCCCTCCTTTGGGAAAGCCTCCAATGTTGCTAGCCTTTGGTCGGACTACCATCCCAACACTGTGTACAGTCGCTAATCGACTATTGCGAATGCAGCAGTACTATGATCACTCTACTGGAAAGCAAACCCGACAAAGAAGTTCACCTTGCTTGTTAATTATGAGGCTTTGTCGCCGCCGGGATGTCGGCTGCCTAAACACCTGTATTAAGTCCCCACTGTTGTTTTTTTCAGCCTTCCTGCACACAAAGGCCTTGGCGGGTGTTTGCCTTCAAATTTGATCTGCAGGATGTCAGCATACATTTTGCTGTACCGCCAGACTGGCCGTCTCTTCGGGCGCGACCGACAGACGGCGCCGGTGGTTGTGTCAACTTCTGTCGTCTGGATTTTATTCGGTCGCAGCTGGCCTACGAGAAATTCTCGGATGACCGTCGCAACACAGAGCTCTCCTGCTCTGCTGTCAACTTCGGTGACGCGCGGTTTGACGGTGAGTCATTCCATAAAAATGCGGTTTATTAATCGAAACTAACCTTGCTTCTTTATTTCTAAAAGTAACTGTTTATTCTCTGATCTTTCAGATCTTGTCGAGTCTCCTCCGATTCTCTTCACCACAATTTTGACTTCGATAAATCCCACGGAGGAACTTACTTCGGCACAACGTCAGTCACAACTCCCACAGTTTCGTATAACTAACGTGGAGAACCCCAATCACTCCTGCATGACGTACTATCTTCGATCAATGCGTCTTATCCTTGCCTTTGACTGGATCTGCGATTTGCATCGTTTTCTCACGACCCCACCAGACTCGGCGTTCCAGCTCGACCAGCCTACCGGGTATTTTCACACTGCCGGAATATAAATACATATATATAAATATATATATAAGCGAAGTAGTATTACCATTATTAGCCTACAACACCTGAGACTCGAACCCATGTCCTGCTGATTAGAAGTCCAACGCCATAACCGTTAAGTAACGGCCTCGTTGTCGTGTCGGTTTGCGATCGGGTGTATTGCAATTCAAAAACCACACATCTAA